TTACACTACAGCGCACTGCTCTGCGATTGGTCTGGTATTCAGCGGCTCATTTGTAATTGGCTGGAACGGTGTGGGCGGGAACATATGAAATTCACTCAGGAAGAGAGCACGGAGAAGCGTCGCAGAAACTAGCGGATGAAGATGAAGAGAAAACAAGCGACACTTTTTGATTGTTTTTATAAACCGGCTCCTCCAGCTGTAGCAACAGAGACAGCCTTAGAAGAACCCACCACCACCAGCTTGACGGCTCAACACAAACATAATGAGACTGACGTCAGCGTTACTCCTGCCCCTGGTAAGTACAAGTGGCTTTTTTTTTTTAAGTGGCTAGTTTACAAAGTTGTTAAAGCTAGCTCAAGTATGTCATCACACAGCCTAGCTCAGGGGTAGGGAATCCTGGTCCTGGAGAGCCCATAGACTGTATTGTAAAACCATTGTTTATTTTTTTAGATGGGAGCTCCTGGCCAGCCGTGTGGAGTGAGAGTCAGGCTAGAGAGTTCCAAAACAGACATCCTTGGTTAGGATGGAGGGAAAGAAAGCTAGGTAAAGCAGATGTTAGAAGAAAAAAAAATGTGCCTATGAAATTTAGTTTATGAAGAAAATCTGTGATGTTTTGTGTATATTTAATGAATGATATAATTTATATAAAACTAAATTTGATTATTTGTACATAGTATTTTGAAGTTAGAGAGTATAAAAGTTGAGTAAAGTAAGTTATGCTTGGCAGACATTTGACAGTATAATTTTTGTAGCTCATGGGAGTCATTAAAATAATAGAAAAAATAAAGTTTGATCACTTCATTTTCATCTCTTGTTTGTAATGGTGTAAAATGGTTTGCAGTTAATGATTAATTGTATAATATATGTTGAGAATTAGTTAAATTAGATCAGTAGATGCTACTATTAGGAGAGTTTTAAAATTATACAATTCTGATCATTTTTATTCACTTGCAGGATGTGAAGTTTGCAGCACCACCAAGTCAACTGGTGTCCTGACAGAAAAGAGGATCTCCATTTCTGAGGAGTGGGCATCATTCAAAATCCAGTCATCAGGTTCCAGTGAGAACC